AGGATTCAGCGAAGGGGAGCTGGGTCTGAACTGCCCTTCTTCAAGGTGAGTGAGAACAGTGTCACGTGCAGTGGGCAGTCCAAAAGAGGCCACCTCAGTACCAGGAGGAACGCTCCCACAGGAGCAATGTAGAGAAAATTTACCGAACTATTGTCAGGATTTTCCTCAGGAAATGACACAAGCTATCAAGAAGGAGTGTATGGGGCAGGGGTGAATTCTGACATGCAAAAAAAAAAAATGCAAAATGACAGTCTTCAAATCTGCTGAATGGAAAAAAAAAAGCCCACCCTGAGGTCATGCTGGCTCAGCAACAGGGGCAGAGCTGTCTCTTAAGGCCACATTTGGCCAAAAAAAGAGCCCAGACCCTGAGGACAACACCAACTATGCTTCTGCTTACAAAGCATCAAACAAAACAAATTAGCAACAACAACAAATAAGCACGGTGGTACAAGCCTGTGACCCCTGAAGCTAACTAGCTAACCAGCCTAGCCTACTTAGTGAACCCGGGTTCAGCGAGAGGTCTTCTTTCAAACCGACAAGGTGAAGCTGGAAAGACGACTCAGTTGGTGAAGGGTTTGCCACACGAGCACAGAGCGCAGTCTGAATCCCCAGCACCCATGAAAAAAGCCGGGCAAAATGACATATAACTGAGACTCCAGCCAAATATGCAGAAACAGTTGGATCTCTGGGGTGTGCTGGCAGGACAGCCTAGCAAGATTGGTGAGCCCCAGATTTAGTGAAAGATCTTGTCTCAAAAAATACAACGAAGAACAATCAAGGAAGAAAACCAACACCTCTAGAGTCTCCATATGCACGCAACTCACATAGACCACACAGCCAAATAAATAAAAAGACCTTAAACGTATATGAATCCCCAAAACCACACACACAGACACACATGTACATGCACACATACATACACAAAATATACACACATAACACACACACAAACACAGCATAACTAAGGCTTACTCTCATTCACGATGGCATTTTTCCCTGCTTCGGACATTTTACAGGTGTAACATTAAGTTCCTTTGGAGAAAATCCTGATGTGTGTCACACTTAATGGAAATTAATAATACCAAAGTCCACTTGCATTCCAGCCCAACTCCCCACCTCAAGATGGCAGGTCCCTGCTTTTCAAATATATGGTTGCTGCCTCCGCTGTGGTGTGTGAGGACAAAATAGTAAATATCCCCATCTTCTCTGGCCATCAGGGGAGGACGGGTAGGAAGGGAGGTCATAATTCTCTTTGCCAACGTGAACGGTCACCTTGTGGCTATTATCCTAGCCTGACCTTGATGCTCAGTGCTTTCTGCTTGGTCTTCCAGCTGTTTCAACAGAAACTAACTGGGAAGAGTTAGAAATGTTAAAGTAGCTGCCAGTGTTCCTCTTAGCTGAGGAAGGACGAGAAAGAGTGGGGAGGGAGGGGAGATAGATGAAGGGTGGGAAGCAGGAAGGGAAGCCCAGAGTTTTATTCCCAGCACTGGCATAAACTGGATCAGTCCTGCTTGCCTGCAGTCTCAGCACTCGGGAGGTAGAGGCAGGAAGATCTGAAGTTTGGTGTCATCTTTGCCTAAGGGATTTGGAGACCAGTCTGGGCTACATAGAACCCTGTCTTCCTTGGATGAATGAATGAATGAATGATCAACCCAATGCCCTCTGCCCAAGGCTGACTGGCCCTCCTAGTCCTAACTGGCATACACCTCCTAACAAACCTCTGGAGAATTAATTTGTCTTTTGTTCTGAGCCTGACTTGGTTATGACCCAAGCAATGTTTCTCATTCTGGGATACCTGTTCTATTGTCCTCTGTCTGCTGTCACCAAAGACTTTCTTGGCTTTCTTGTCCATGATGTCCTTTAAATCACAGCATGTCCTTCAGGTATTGTCCCTACATGTCACAATGTCACATATCTCCACACACAACAGGCCCCGAGCCTCCTTTCTTTCCCATCAGTCCCCTCTGGCAGGGGTATGTCCATTCCTGGTTTTGTCAAATGCTTCTTAGTGTGTCTCTTAATTTCCCAAGAAAACCCAGACTATATATGTATGTATGTGTGTGTGTGTGTGTGTGTGTGTGTGTGTGTGTGTGTGTGTATCCCTCTGGGGTTCACTCTGCTCCTGGTCCCCAGTGCCTCTGCTGTTCCTCTGGATTACCCAGTTGCCCATCTCCACAAGGAATCTCGTGAGTCTCCTAATGTCAACCATTTGATAAATTACAAACCTCTGCTTGTATTTGCACAGGAAGTCCGTAATTAGCCGTGGGGCATTCTGCTAAACTTCTTTGTGAAAGACACTGGAGAGAAAAGAATAAATCCTCGTATTGTTTTGTAATCATGGGAGAGCAGCCATCGGCTCTCCGCCTCCACGTTGCCCCCACCACAACACCATCTACCAAATTCCCGTTCTCCTCCTGCCAGCTGGTTCTTTTTAGCTGCTGAATTCATTTCCAGGGTCCAGAGCAGTTTCTGACAACCCCATCTTAGTCAGGAGGGTCTTATTTACCAAAGCTAATTCTGCTCATGTTGCAACAGACGTGGAAATAGCTATGAATCTTGTTCATCTTCTTTTGCTGTGTTCTACCAGTGAGGAGCAATCGAAGCTGAATTACCATTGTTCAAGGAACTTGCTCGCGTATTTAAGAGCTGTTGAGAGACATCAAGCAGGACAAAACTGAGCTCAAGGAAAGCTCTAAACCAAAGCACTGTTAGCTCAGGCTCCCCCGGGAAGGGAGTCCCTTGGATCTAGGACTTTAGGGGTAGTATTTGTTTCAACCTCCAAAGACCGTAATAGTTCTGCCATCTGTCTCTCTAAATCCCTGGCAGGCAAGCTGAAGGCTGGATTCACAGGGCGGCTCTGTGTCCATTAGGAATACGAACCTTTTTATTTCCTTGTAAAGAAATCGCTGGTTCTCTTCAAGGCTGCCCAAAAGAAATAGGGCTGTCAAGGAGGAACTTTGTAGTCAGCTCAACAAGTTTATTCTCCATTTATTTCCCAGAAAGCAACCAGGCTCTGTACTCTAGGGAAGGAAGCAGAGGAGAACGTCAGCAGAGTTCTGGGGGGCTCGCCAATGCTGGGAAGACCGCCCTTGCAAGATCCTTGCCCTCTCACTGCTTCTAGTCCAACAAACAACAGCACTCACAGGAGAACGCACAGGAGGCAAGGCTGCCTTGAGAACAGGCATAGAAGTCAGCTCAGACGGGAATAGGGATCACCCTCTTTAGGATAGAAGCCTGCCAAGAGGGTCTTTCCTGTCTTGTTCTGTTTCTCTTTGTGGTGCTGGGGATGTTATTCAGTGACCTGAACATGGTACGCAAGTGTTCTGCTGCAGAGCCACACCCCAGCTCCTCACTGGGGGATTCTAGGCAGGGGCTCTACCACTGAGCCACACCCCAGCCCCTCACTGGGGAACTCTAGGCAGGTGCTCTACCACTGAACCACACCCCAGCCCCTCACTGGGGGATTCTAGGCAAGGGCTCTACCACTGAGTCATGACCCTAGGCTAGGCTTGAGGGCTCTCTGAGAAATTATTTTAAACTTGGGAAATCCCACCTGGCTCCTAAGTTAGATCTGACCACTTACCCTCAGTGAATCAATAAAAAGAGAAGAGTCAAAGCAATAGTGGGAAGCAGAAACGGAGATGCATTGATGTATTCAGTGTGGACACATTGGGAAGAGAGACAACGCGATCTGGTGGGAGCCCTTGTCCGTCCTCAAGGCCCTACAGTAAGATCAAAGTTAAATAGAGGCCTATCTAAGCAGGCCCAGTCAAGGTGGGGTCCCACCCATCACTGATCCATCCTTGTCTGGGCTTCAGTCTCACCCTGGTGTGGTTATCTGAAAAACTGTTAGCACTGTGTAAAACATTCTTGGAAGCAAGTGCTCTCTCTCTCCTGGTACGGCCTTATTCTTCTCCCAGCGTGATATTTCTAGGAATATTCCTATTTCTTTGGGATCCATTGTGTCCATAGTCTGGTGATCTGGTTGAGTGTCTCTAGAATATCTTCATGTCTGCCATGTTGGTTACAAAGGGATGAGTCTATCCCTGTCTGAAATCAACTCCAGCAGCTGAGTAGACTTCCTCTTGGGCCTCAGAGAGGGGTTAATAGCCACTTTTATTTAATACATACAGATTTCCTGGAATATCCAAAGAATCACTAGAAATTTTGTAGATCAATCCTGTGTGTTCCTTTGATCTTCATTTCAGGGAAATTTGCCTTCCATTGGTAGTGGCACAGCCGGGGTTCCTAGCTGACTCAGCATTTCTATTCACCACCACCACCACCACCACCACCACCACCACTGAACTCCTCTCTCCCAGCCAGAAGTGACTGTATGTCAGTGATCCCTTAACCACATCAGAAAGTTCTGGAATTGGGAGCTCCTGGGATGAATGGCCCTGTAGAGTAAGGGATCATTTTGTTATTGTTGCTTTGCATGTGCATGCATGCATATGTATGTCCAAGTCTGTGTGTGTATGTGTGTGTGTGTGTGCATGTGTGTTTGCACACAAATGGGTGTTTGTGGTGGCCAGAGGATAATCTTGGGTGGCATTCATCAGGCATCATCAGCCTTTTCCTTTCGATGCAGGGTCTCTCACAAGCCTAGAATTGGTCACCTAGGCTGGCTGGAGAATGAACCCCTCTCTTCTTGTCTCCCCCTCACCAGATTATCAGCATTTACCTCCATGCCTGGTTTTTGTATGTAGATTCTGGGGCTCACACTCAGGTCTTCATGTTTGTGTTACAAATATTTTACCCACTGAACCATTTCACCCAGTCCCCAATGGCCATTGGTAGATTATTGGATTCCAAATGGTTTAATTTTTTTCTAAGGTCAAGCTTTATGTTCATAATGAAAAGTCTAGTGATCCTCGGGATTGAGTGCGCCCTGCTCTTAATTCTCCAGCCCTCCGTGAATCCACCCCTTTCCCTTGTGGCCCTGTAGCATTCAGGAGCCACCAGTTTGACCCCACTGAATCCGGTCTGGCCATGGCCAATAGGATGCAGCAGAAATAAGGGCAAGCCAGTCAGGAGGCTAGACTTCAAGATTGTGTGCACAGCTGCTGTCTAACTTGGAATGTGGCTGTTTCCATAGCAACAAGCCCACGCTTGCTGGAGTATGTAACACCCTAGGACTTCAGCCACCAGCAGTTCACCCACAACAGAGATGAACTCAACCAAAATGTTGAGGTTCTGAGGTCTGGGCGTACTCTAACCCATAAATAAGGGACATCTTTAAATTCACATAGTATTTTGTTTCTTGGTATTGTATAAAATAATGGAAAGTTCTGGTATGTCCTGGGCACTGTGCTTGCTCTGGTGTCATGAGCAAGATCTACGCATGAATCCTGACTTTCCCAGGGACTTAGAGTATGTCTGTGGAGATTTCTGAACTAGCAATTCCGGGTTCGCTATTTTTGTGCCGCTGTGATCAAATGCCTGGTGAAAACAGAGAAAGAGAAGGAAGGTTTGTTTCGGCTCATGGCTTCGAAGTTTTGCACCATTGTTTCGGCTCGTGGTTTCAGGGGAGTTTTGCACCATCGTTACAGAAAAGGCTTGGCAGTGGGAACGGTGTCTGGGGCTCTTCACATCTTATAAGACAGGAAGCAGGACTGAAGCCAGAAGTCGGCATAAGCTACTGTCTAAGTTAGGGTTTCTATTACTGCAATAAAAGACCATGACCAAAACAGCAAGTTGGGGAGGAAAGGATTTATTTGACTTACACTTTCATTATCGAAGGAAGTCAGGACAGGAACTCAACCATTCTGTGGTCTGGGGTCCTGGTCCGAATCAAAAGGAACAACCAAGCTGAGCAACAACACCTGACTCTCTCTGCTTCCTTACTGAGGATGTCATGTGACCAGCTGCATCACACTCCAGCTTCTATGATGTTGCCACCTGGACAGGCTGTACCCTCGAGTGGTGAGCCAAAATAAACCCCTCCTTTCTTCCCTAAATCGCTTGTCAGGCATTTTGTCACAACAGCAAGAACAGCAGCGAATACACAGACGTTTCACATTTGAACTGTAACCAGCCCCAAACTCAGGGCCAGTTACACATATATGTGTAAGACACCTACACATCACTGTCTAGAACAGTGGTTCTCAACCTTCCTAATGTTACAACCCTTTAATATAGTTCCTCATGCTGTAGTGACTCCCAACCATACAATTGTTTTCATTACTATTTCACAACTGCAATTTTTCTACTGTTATGAATCATAATGCAAATATCTAACCTGTGACCCCTGTAGGGGTCGCAACCCATGGATTGAGAACCATTGGTCTGGAACCGCACATTCTTTGGCCTTCATGCTCATTATGTGCCTTGCTTCAAGAGGCCCAGAAGAAGCACAGAGAACAACATAGTATTCTCTTTGCCCCTTATCACTCAGTCACGTAAACATTTGAGTTTTGCCGCCCCAGGCAACAGCTTGTTCCTTTTTAATTAACTTGCCTTTATTGATTTTTCCACATTCATCATTCCAAACACTAGCACGCCTCCTCCATGTGTGTCTCTGAAGTCAGCACTTACCCAGCATGGTGTTCTGGGTCACACCTAGTACTCCAGGTCACATATGATGCTCCCTACTGCGCATGCCTTTCCGTTGTGGAGAGACTCGGAATGTCACAGTGGAAAACTGATATGTGTGTATTTCTGATTTCTAGGGTTGGGCATTGAACCAAGGGTCTTGTTCATGCCAAGGTGTGCGCTGAGCCACGCCCCAGCCCCTCACTGGGGGATTCTAGGCAGGGGCTCTACCACTGAGCCACACCTATAACCCCCTCACTGGGGGATTCTAGGCAGGTGCTCTAACACTGAGCCACACCCCAGCCCCTCACTGGGGGATTCTAGGCAGGGGCTCTACCACTGAGCCACACCTATAACCCCCTCACTGGGGGATTCTAGGCACGTGCTCTACCACTGAGCCACACCCCAGCCCCTCACTGGGGGACTCTAGGCAGGTGCTCTACCACTGAGCCACACCCCAGCCCCTCACTGGGGGACTCTAGGCAGGTGCTCTACCACTGAGCCACACCCCAGCCCCTCACTGGGGGATTCTAGGCAGGCCTGATAACAGGTGCTTTTACTCACTGAGCTATCTCTCAGGTCCTTCACCTTATTTCTTGGTGAAGGGTCTCTCACTTAACGTGGGGCTTGTCAGTCTGACTCGAGTGATTTACCAGAGCTCCTCCTGACTGCCTCTTCAGTGCTTCACATTACAAGTGTATGATTCTCTGTGTGACTTTTTATGTAGGCTCTTGGGGATTGAACTTGGGTCCTCAGGCTCGTGCGGCCAGCACTTCACTTGAAGCCATCTCACAGGGTCCATAAATCAGCAGACTTTATGGAAAGCATACCTCCCTCCCATACTGTGTTGTATTCCCCCTCCCAGCCCTGTGCTTTAGGTCTTTCAGGACAAAACTACCAACTTCACCAGAGCAGAGAGAGCCCTGCTGTAGACACTCTTCGCTGTCAGAACTCTGACATAACCTCAGATCTTCCCAGCACTTCCCCCAGCCGTCAGCTCTGCAGATGAGAGGTATGACAGTCTCTACTGCAGGGGCAAAGTTCTTAAAATACACCTCTGTGTGTGTGGTGTGTGTGTGTGTGTCACATGCACACTATCTCTATGCAACATACGTATGCATTTACACACATAGACACACATGCCCACCATACATTCATCTAGGTGATCCTGTGTCTGTGGAGAACTCAGACAGACATCTTAAAGTTCCAAGCCATGACCTCCCGATAGACTCAGACTGGGCCATTGGGATTTCAAACATAGCAGACACAGAGAAGAATTTGGAGGCCTTATCAGTTGGTTTTCACTGCTGTGCCAAAATCCCCAACAAAAGCAATTTGCTGATTCACGATCGAGGGTACAGTCCATGGTGGCGGGGAAGGCACAGCGGCAGGAGCATGAGGCAGCTGGTCACATCACATCTGCACTCAGGAAGCAGAGAGAGCTGGTGCTGGTCCTCGGCTCACTTTCTGCTTTTTCTTTAGGTCCCATATCTCGGTGGGGGTCCTCAGTGAAGTCAGTCTAGATACTCCCTCGCAGAGATGCCCAGAGGTGTGTCCCCTATGTGATTCCAGACTCTGTCAAGTTGACAGACAGTAGAGACCATCATGGTGATTCTCCCCGTGGACGGGGCTGCATAGCCAGACACTGACAGGGAGAAAGCTTGTAACATAATCATGGATGATGAGTCCAATGTGAGGGGTGGGGTGAGGATGGCTACACACCAAGCGTGCGGTCAGAGCTGTCTTCAGCAGCCACAGCTATGTGAGGCACCTCCCACAGCTCGTTTGGGGGTCTGAGGGTTGCCAGGTGGGTCTCTATAACCTGAATCAGGGAAGACATTATTTGGAAGTTCCACTGGATTGGCCTGACCCAGGCTACTCATCAGGTAGCTTGGGTCCTATCCACATGATCCCTCAAGCAGTCTGGGTTTGGTCACCGCATTTGAGGTCTGAAGAAGGCACCCCTGTGATGTCAGGGTAACTTTTGTTGGTCAACGCCAACCTCAGGTACATCAGGATTCAGGATGGGAGAGTGAGCAAGAGTTGAAATACCAGGCGGCCTGGCTCACAGGGTGGGTGGCGCTCTGCTAAAATCTGCCCATCACCAAAGAAAGTTCAACTTTAAAGACACCGCCAAGACACAGTTAAACACCCCCTGGCAAATTTGCTTTGCAAAGCAGAAATCTGGAGTGGAACTGTCCGTATGGAGCCTCCTGTGTCCTCAGCGTTGCCTCACTGACTGTCCTGATTTCAAAGCTAGTCCATCCACACGGTGTGTGTCGGTGCTCTCCTTTTTCATGGCTTAGTAATATTTCCATTGTGTGGCTGTTCTAGAATGTACCCATCCATACTTCGTTTGGTGGACATGCTAGTTCTTTAGAACATGGTGACTAGACTGATACAGGTATTCAGGCACAATCGATGTGAATGCAGGAATTTTTTTTTTTAAGCCATCCTCTCAGAAGCAGATCTTAAATGAAAATGTAGGTTCTTTGGTTCCCAAGCTAACACATATTCCTGGATCGTGTTAGAACTAGATAGAGCCAAGAGATGTGTGAGGAAGTGGACAATCTGCCAGGTCCTGGCTGTGTCTGAGGTGATTTTAACAATGAATCAGAAGATTGCTCTGGTCAAATTCTTCCCAGATGTTCAGAAAACACAAATAAAGCCACCTGGTGGGGCAGTTTCCAGGGGGTAAAAATTAATCTGATCTCATTCTTTCCTTTTAAAGGCAAATGTATGTACATTCACTCATGTGCACACACACATTCTTGTGCACACACACTCATATGTACACATATACTAATTCATGTCTATACATACTCGTGCGCACACACACATGTGAACACATTCATGTGCATATACATACTCATGTACCCACAACTCATGAACGCACAATTCATGTACACACACACTAATTCATGTATACACACTCATGTACACACACATTCATGTGCACATACACACTTGTGCATATACATACTCATGTGCACACACTCATGTTCTCACAGATACATGTGCACATAAACATTCATTTGCATACACACTCATTCATGTCTATTCACACATTCATGAGGACATATATATTTATGTGCACACACACGCACGCACACACACACACACACACACACACACACACACACACACACACAGAGTCAGTTCTAAGCCCAGAGACAGCACTATCGACATCATTTTCAACACTAAAAAGGATTCCCCCTCAAGCCCTCCCAGGATGTCACTTCTTGTTTTCGGTTGTTTTTGCTGTGTGTTTGCAGGTGCATGCCTGCTACCGCACGTGTGTGGAGCTTAGAAGCCAATCGTCGGTGTCAGTCCTTACCGTCCACCTTGTTCTTTGCTGCTGTCCTTTGCCTTTTTCAGACATGCTAGGCTAGCTAGCCCGGGGTCTTCTGAGGATCTCCTTTCTCTGTCTTCCACCTCACCACAGAAACACTGGGATTGCTTCTGTGCACTACCCCATCAGGCTTTACATGGCTTCTCGGGGATTCGAACTCAGGTCTCCACGACTGTGCAGCAAGTGCTTTGTCCACTAAGCTATCTCGCTAGCTCTGCTTCATCTTTCCAAGTCCAGGATTCCTGCTACCAGGAACAACATCGGAGAAAACATGAAGATGTGGTCGACACAAAAGAGACCCCGACATTCCCAGCCCTGCACCTCTGCTTTCCACGGGTCTACAGAACTGTCACTGTTGCTAGGTTTGAAAGAGACATTGCCACCGCCAGAGGCTATGGAGGTCTGGGGCTTTGAGTTACAACTCGGGATCTCAATAGATGTTGGCTGTTATGCAAAATTAATTATCTTGGTCATTTGAATGTTTTCCCCCAAACATAATATAATCTCATTACAGACTACTCCAAACCAGAGTGAATCAGGAGCCAAATTCCATTTAGGAAATTGAAGGTAATTTAGAGTTATATGATTTGAAGGGGGGGAAAAAAAGGAAGAAACTCCTTTCTTTGCTAAATGCTAATTTGGTCCGACTCCATAATGTAAAAGTGACTTTCATTTGCTTGGGAATTGCTGTAAGCATGGGGGCCAGCGAAGGCTCAGTTTGAAATGTTTGAGCAAGTTCTCTAGTCGTCTTTGTGAAGGAATCCTGAAGTACACAAGCAAGGACAAAAGTCCAGTGGAACTTCCATAAGGCAGCACTTGTCCCATAGAGGTCCAAGGGAAATGTAGCCCTTGGAACCATAGACATGAGGATCCCAGAGAAGAGACTCAGAAGGAGCAGAGAGAGAGAGAGAGAAAGCAGTCAGTCCACTGGGCAGTTTGATTATGCACAGTGTATGTAAGTCAGCTCAGTTGTTGCAAAAAAGGGTATGTATTAGTCAGCTCAGCTGCCGTAACAAAGGCGTACATATTCGGTCAGCTGCTGTAACAAAAGGGTACATATTAGTTCATTGTCACTGTAAAAAGGTGTGTATTAGCTAGCTTAGCTGCTGTAACAAGAGAGCACTTCTACTATTAAAAGAAAAGGATGAACATTATTAGTTCAGTTGCAGTAACAAAAGGTGGCATTTGTAACAAGATGCCATCTATTGGCTCAGCTCTTATAACAAAGGTGTATTAGTCAGCTCAGCTGCTGAACAAAAGGGCCTCAGCTGGGTGCCTTAACATTAGAAACCTGTTTCCTCACACTTGGAGACACTGAAAGCTGAGGTTGGAATATTAGCATGCTGGCAGCTCCCAGGGCCTCACCCTTCGCTGGTATATGTTGTCTTCACACAGCGCCCCCATGTGGTCATATCTCTTTCCTTATGGTGTTCGGGTCTTCTCTCTTCTTCACCAGCTTTATAGACTTGCATGGTCTACCTCATTTCACCTTAACTACGTCTCTCAAGGTCCTCTTTGCAGATGTGGCTGCATAGGGCTAGACAGCGGAAGATAGGGTTTCAATATACGGATTGGAGTAATATAATTCCCCCTTAACCAACTATGGAGCCTAAGTGCCTCAGTCTAGGCCCATCGCATCAAACTGAGATGCCAGCATCCTCATCTGGCCTCCCCACTCCCTACCTTATCTTTCTAGAGCTTTCTATACATAGTCCAGAATAACAGCTGACCATTCCTCTTTCCCTCCCTCCATCCCTTTGCACCTTTTTCCTTCTTTTTCCCCCTCCATTCCTCTTTTCTTTCTGTCTGTCTATCTTCAGTATTGGAGATGGAAGATTTCATCTTTTTAAACATTTTTTTAAACAATCTTTTTTGTTTTACATACCAATCTCAGTTCCCTCTCTCTCTCTCTCCTTCCACTCCCTCTACCTTCCTCCCACAATCAGAGAGAGAGCAGTCTCCTACGCTGAGTCAACAAAGTCTGTCACACTACTCTAAGCAGGACCAAGACCCTCCCTCTTTTATCTAGGCTGAGCAAGGTGTCCCTCCATAGGGAATGGGCTCCAAAGAGCCAGTTCATGCACTAGGAATAAGTACTGGTTCCACTGTCAGTCGACCCACAAACTGCCCAAGCCACACAACTGCCACCCATATTCGTAGGGCCTAGTTCGGTTCTATGCAGGTTCCCCAGCTGTCAGTTCAGAGTCAATGCGTTCCCACTAGCTCGGGTCAGCTGTTTCTATTGATTTCCCCATCAAGGTCTTGACCCCTTTGCTCTTATTATTGCTCCTCCCGCTCTAATACTGGACTCCAGAAGCTCAGCCCAGTGCTTAGCTGTGGATCTCTGCACCTGCTTCCATCAGTTCCTGGATGAAGGTTCTATGATGACAATTAAGGTGGTCATCAATCTGATTACAGGGGAAGGCCAGTTCAGGTAGGTACCCTCTCTACTACTGCTTAAAGTTTTAACTGGTGTCATCCTTGTGGATTCCAGGGAATTTCCCTAGTGCCAGGTTTCTCTCTAATCCCATAATGACTCTGTCTATCAGGATATCTCTTTCCTTGCTCTCCCTCTCTGACCTTCCCCCAACTCAACCTTCTCAATCCCTCATGTTCTCCTCCCCCTCCTCTTCTCCCCTCCCTACTCCCCTTCCACCCTCCCTCTCTCCCTATGCTGGAAATTGACTCAGGAGACCTTGTCTATTTCCCCTTCCCAGGGTGATCCATGTATGTCTCTCTTAGTTTCTTCCTTGTTTCCTGGGGAAGCCAGTATTTCTAGCATGATAGACAAGCATTACAACACTGAGCCACACCCCAGTCCCTCAATGGGGGATTCTAGGCAGGGGCTCTACCACTGAACCACACTCCTAAGTCCCTCACTGGGGTTTGACTCTGGGCAAGAGCTTTACCACTGAGCTCTTCCCCAACCCAATTTTCACATTTTATCTTGAGATAGGATCCCACTGAGTTGCCTAAGATGGACTTGAATTTACTCTGTAGCCCAGGTTAGCCTTAACCTTGCAATTCTTCTCTCTGGACCTTCTGAATAGCTAAGGTTACAGGTCTGTGACATGCACATAAAGCCTCCTTCAGAGAAGATCTCTCCAAGCTCCTGGTGGATTCCATGGAGTTCTAAGGAGATGCCAAACCCTCACTGGAAATCATTATTCTTCTCGAGGTGAGAAGCTCATGCTCCCAGCCATGATGCTCTGCCTCACCAGGGACACAGAAACAATGTAGGCAAGGGATCATGGGCTGAGCCCACTGAAACAGTGAGTCATGATAAATCCTTCCTCTAGTGCACTCATTCATTCATTCATCATCCATTATTTTGAGAAGGGTTCCATGCAGTGCAGCCAGCACAGGGAGGCAGGGGGGTTTCCGGAGGAAATGGCCCTTGTAGTGGAGACTCTAAAGATGAGAAGGCATGAATCAGCCAGACAATGAAGTAGAGTTCAGAGACAAAAGGAGAAATTGAAGATATTCAACCACATGTCATAGAACAATGAGGATTCTGGAGACAACCCCCAAAAACCAGAGAGGTAGAAGTGGTATTCAATTTCCTTTCTAATGCTGTGACCAAAAGCAACTTAAGGCAGGAAAGGGTTTATTTGGCTTTTACTTCTAGGTCATAGGCCATCATTTAAAGAAGCCAGAGCAGGAACCCAAGCAAATCAAGGATGCTGCTTGTTGGCTCCTTCGGGCTCATGCTTACTCAGCTTTCTCAGATAACCTGGGACCACATACAAAAGAACGGTGCCACCCAGGGTGGCCTGGGCCTTCCTACATCAACTAACAACCGAGACAACCCCTTACAGACATGTGCACAGCCCAAATCTGATCTGGGAAATCCCTCAGTAGAGACTCGGCTAGTTTTTCCCTACTCTTACACACTTTCGGGTCCAAAACTAGGGAATGGTGCTACCCACAGTGGGCTGTGTCTTTCTGTATCAATTACCATAATCAGGACAATCTTCCACAGACATGCTCAGGGGTCAGCCCAGACAACCCTGCACTGAGTCTCTCTTCCAGCTGGTTTTAAGCTGTGTTAAGTTGATGATTAAAACTAATCGTCACACACTGTGGCCTGGCAAACCCTAGGACAGAGAAACCAGGGTTTTGCTAAGTGTCTGTTAGAACCGAATGCCAACATCCATCTTTTTGTCAACTGTGGTGTAATTCTCTCTGGGGCAGAGGATTTGTTTCCTGTGCTGTAACAAGTTGCCACAAAGTGAAGTGTATTTTCTCACCATTCCGAGGGCCAGAAGTCTGAGACAAAAGTCTTGGCAGGGTCAAGTCCCTGCTCCCGTGGGACAGTCAGCTTTGTGACACTCTCTAAGCTTCTGGTAGTTCCAGGAAATTCTTGGCACTTGTTCCGTGGTGTGGAGACATGCCTCTCTAGCCTCTGCCTCATTTCTCTGTCAGCCTCTTTCCTTTTAAGAAGACACAGCAGCTATTTTCCTTTTTGTCATGACAAAATGACCAAGAAGAAGCAGTGTGGAGAAAGAGGGTTCATCTCACCTTGTAGTTCCTCTCGGCTGCACACACACATGAAACTGCTGGCCAATTGCAGCTACAGTCAGCAAACAAAGATCAAGCCGGGTGGTGGTGGCGCACGCCTTTAATCCCAGTGCTCGGGAGGCAGAGGCAGGTGGATCTCTGTGAGTTCGAGGGCAGCCTGGTCTACAAGAGCTAGTTCCAGGGCAGCTAAGACTGTTACACAGAGAAACCCTGTCTCAAAAAAAAAACAAACAAAAGAAAGAAAGAAAGAAAAGGAAAAGAAAGAAAAAGAAATGCCCTAAGTGATAATGCCCAGAGGTTTGTCTCCAAGTAAATCTAGATATTGTCAAGCTGAAGATTAATGCTACCCATCACTGGGCAGGATGGGACACACCTTTAATCCCAGCATACAGGAGGCAGAAGAAGTAGGCAGATCTGTGAGTTCAAGGTCAGCCTGGTCTAGATAGAGAGTCCCAAGCCAGCCAGAACTTCTTTGTGAGACCCTGTCTCAAAACAGCAACTAACAATCATGCTTATTGCGATGGGTTCCACCCTAAATTCAAGATAGTGTCCTCTCAAGATGCTCACCTTAGTGGCAGCGACTAAAACCCTATTTCCCGGTGAGCTTGCTGTAGTTATTTCTATATCTGTTTATTTTAGCTTAGGGCTTCAGAGGGATTTCAGCCCACTTTGGCAGGCAGACGTGAAGGCAACGTGAGTGTGACATCTGTTGTTCAGAGCACAGTGAACCAAGGGCTCTCTGCTGTTGATTATAGGGATCTGAGCTCTCTCTCTCTCTCTCTCTCTCTCTCTCTCTCTCTCTCTCTCTCCCCATCTCACTTTCCCTCCCTCTCCCTCCCCTCCCACAGAACCTCATGACCTAGAAATTTGGGAGGAAGATGCGGTGCTCCCAGAGTGAACTGTCTGCAGCTTCCTCTCCTGTCTACCGCTGCCGTCCTTAGCGTTGATGACAGCATTGGCCACAGTCACCTCTTCCCCCTTCTCCTTCTCACCCGTTCCTCAGCTTCAGGTGCCCTCCAGCACCCTTCATCCTTAATGTTCTGTTTTCCCAAAGCTTATTTTTGGAAACAAAGCGAGTAAACAAAAGAAGAGACAGTGTTCAACTTGATCCCAATAAATCTCAGCCAAATAAACTGGATCTTTTTTTTTCTTCTTCTTCTTTTCAGTTTCTTTGCTGTCTACAAGGCTCTCGCAGGTCCTGTGTGTCATTAACTTGTTGACTTGGGGAAAAGCATTTATGCAGAACTATTAAGCACCCTGAAAGTGGAGGCATGATAGGATTCACAAGTGTGACCTCTGACCCCAGTGGCCCATCACCCATTACGAGGGGGTTCTGACTTCATTCTGTTGCTATGACAAACACCACCACTGAATGAAGCTTAGAAGAAAGAAAGGGTTAACTTCAGCTTACAGGTCACAGTCCGTCATTGGGGGAAGTCGGGACAGGAATTCAAACTGGAACTTGAAACATAAACCATAGAAGGATGCTGTTTACTGGCTTGCTCACGGTCTTTCTTCCCTATACAGCCCAGGACTGCTTGCCCAGGGAGTGTTACTTACTTCCCACAGCGGGCTGGGCCTTCCCACGTTAATTTGCAATCAAGACAGTCCCCCACAGATTGACCTGATCTGAGCAGTTTCTCCACTGAGATGACCATCTCCGGTGTCTCTAGGCTGTGTCAAGATGGCAGTTACAAGATGGCAGTCAGAGGGAAGCAGGCATCCCTGGAGGGCTGGAACTCCTGCTTCAGTGGAGCATTGTTTGACACCTCCAGATCAGAGCTCTCCCCTTTTCCTCTCACCTTTAGCTAAACACAGACAATGGGAGCTGAGGAGATGACTCAGTGGGTAAAAAACTGGCCGTGTTTGCAAGCGTGAGGACCTGAGTTTGGATCCCAAGAATCCACATAGAGAGTCAAATTGTACACCTATAACACTGGCACTGGGAAAATGGGCGGTGAAGACGGGTGGATCCCTGGAAGTCCCTGGGCTGGGTAATTTTGCCTACTTGATGAAGTTTCAAAGCAATGAAAGCCCCTGTCTCAAACAAAAGTTGACAGTTACTTGTTTGAGGGTTTTTGTTGTTGTTGTTGTTGTTGTTGTTGGATTTTTTGCTTGTTTGTTTGTTTGGTTTTTGCTGTGACTAAATTCTGTGACTAATAGCGACTTGGGAGAGAAAGGGTTTGTTTGAGCTCACAGATCCGGGCTTTGTCCATCGCTGTGGGAACTGTGGAGCTCACAGATCCAGGCT